TTACTCACCGATAATAGCCTCTTGGTTAATTCGACGCTATCTTCAATGAGAACACTAAAAAAGTCAGAAGGTGCCGAAGCAACAAGAAAACACTTTTTTATTAACTTCACAAGCTAAGGTAAAAGTCGAGAGAACGGTTTTGAATTTGGATAAGGTAATGAGCTTAGGAAAAATCAGTGATTGAAGACATTCAAAGTGATCCACTTCGCTAAATAATGAAGACAATGCAAGAAGGTCAATGCCTGTAACTACACTATCCATGAATGAAGTACACGCTAACCCAATACACTTGGCAGCAGAAGCCTGTTGAACGAAAGCTGGAGTGGGTAGAAGGACGACCTGATCGTCATCAACTTCCTTGGTCCTTTCAAGCTTCTGACTAACAGGAGCCTTGTCCGAAGCACCACTTTCCTCTTTGACCTTCCGCGGGTGTCGACTGCGCCTACGCTGACCCCTACCATGCAAGCCAGTCGTATATGAGGAAACGAGACCGCTGGCTCTGGTACCATCTCGACGACGCGTCGTCTTGGTGGGTCTTGCTATCATGAGCCTGACATCCTCCGTGGCACCAACCTCATCCGCATCAATGCCATCATTACCTGCTTGTAAGACACGAAACGGGATACGATCCGCGCACATGTACGCGAGCCCTGCCCCAAAGTATCAACATGAAAATATTGTACAGCTGAGACAAACAAACACTCCCACCAGTTAAAAACCAGTGACCGTTAATGTGGCTTAGCTTTCATGACTTCAAAGGGTTACCGTGTGGGAGAGTTGGAAACAGTTGAGTCGTACCTACCCTTTCAAGATGCACGACATAGTCTCGTTCGCAAAATGATGAAGTGATTCGAAAAAAAGAAAATCACCAACAGAGCTCAAAAACTTCAGTATATTATTTAAAAACAAAAGTCAAACATAATTACTTTAAAAAATATAAGAAAATTATTGAAACTACGAAGCAGTTTTGCAACAAATCATCTAGGAAATCAAGTTGTGAGGAGAGTAAGTAGAAGCGAAAATGAATTTAAATA